GAGCTGCATTTGGGAAGCAAGGTCATGGGGGAATCTTTGGAAACACCGCTGCAGGGGGGAAGGTGCAGACGTGCAGGTGGGCAAGGAAGCCTTGAGGCCGCTGGGGATCGGGAATTCGGGTTAAGGTAGGAATTCGGGTTAAGGTAGGCGAGAACAACAGGACTGCAGGTGCTTGGCTGTGGGGTGGAATTGCTCTTCTCAGAGCCAACGGGCTCCATTTCCTCCTGTTAGACGGCTTGAGGGCAGGCTGCTTGGGGAAAGGCTGGTAAATGCCATCAAGCAGGTGACATCACATTGGCTCTCGACCTGATGCTCCTGGTCCTGGTGCCGAGAAAGCCCGAAGGCATCAGAGCGCTGCCCTGGCCTGTGGAGGAACACGGGGCTCCCTCGTGGGTGGCCCCAGAGCCCTGCTCACCCATCTTGCACTGATTGCTCAGTTCCTTGAGTTTCCTTTCGTGCCTTGCCCGGAAGCCGTGCAAAAAACCCCCATGACTTATGGAAAGCTGAAGGGATTCTGTTCCTTGAGAATCCACATGCTTTTGATGAGAAGGCATGCTGCCACTGAGGAGTCACAAAGTCTTCAAGACATTTGATTTTGACAGAAAATATGACTATTTAGCAATGGGGCTGGGGATCTTTGATCTCTGAGCCCCCCGTCCTGAACATCGGCTCCTTCAATTTCACACATTTCAAACATAGGAGCACCTGGGGGCTTAGTCGGTTGAATGTACTTTTTAATAATATTTATTTATTTTGGGGAAAGTATAAGCAGGGGAGGGGCAGAGAGAGGGGGACAAAGGATGAGAAGCAGGCTCTGTGCTGATAGGCTGAGGGTAGGAAGCCCGATGTGGGGCTCAAACCCATGAACCAAGAGATCAGGACCTAAGCCAAAATCAGATGCTCAACCAGCTGAGCCAGCCAGGTACCCTGAATGTCTGACTCTTGATTTCAGCTCGGGTCATGATCCCAGGGTCATGAGATCAAGTCCCATGTCGGGCTCTGCACTGAGCATGGATCCTGCTTGGGATTCTCTCTCTCTCTCTCTCTCTCTCTTTGCCCTTCCCCTCCTCACTCTACAATTAAAAAAAACAGTGCAATTTTTACATTTGCAGCACTCATCGGAACACAAGTGAAGTGTGCAAAAGCAGCAGTCTCCAGTGGAAATGATAAAATGCCACCCTGGGGCTCCCCACGAAGACATAGAGGGTGGGGGTGCTCAGGGGCTGCCCCAGGTATGTTGGGGACAAGGGCAGGATGCAATTAGCATTGCATCCAAGCATCACTTCCACTCAGCTTCTTCTGGACTCTCCGCACCTGCTGCCTGCTCTTCACAGCTTGCTGCATCCCACCTGGAATCTGGTGTTTACCAGGCAGACCCCACGAAGGGACATCCTCTCTGGGCCAGCCTCTCCAGAGGGGGGGACCTCATCATTTGGGCCCATCGAGTGGATGTACCACCCACTGGCAGTGGCAGGGACCAGGGGAAGGCACATGGACACTCATGTTTCAGTGTCAAAAGGATGTGCTGAGAATAATCATTCTTATGATGCTCAGAATAAAGCATCATGAAAACCAAGAGATGGAGACAATCAATCACTTTGCTGGTGGCTCTTCACATCAAGATTTGAAACCTCACCCTCACCCTGTAGCCACATCTGGGACTCCAGGATGAGCCTGCAAGGTGTGCACCTGAGGGCTGGGGAGGCCCGGGATGCATTAGTGCCATGGACACCTTTCCTCTGGATTCCTTCAAATTGTGTTCATTAAGCTTCCTAAGGACGAGGGCTGCACAGATGCATGCAAACCCGTTCCTCACTTGAACCATCCGACCCACCCTGTTGACAGTGTTTTTCCCCTTAGGCTGAGCTCAGCTTATCTCTAAGTAGATGTAGATATTCTTCATTCCCTGCATCTGTGATCACTGAGAACTAACAAGGCACAGCCATAAGATGGTGGAACCGATTGGTTCACGCTCTTGTGGTGAGCTCACCCAAGGAGGCTTCCTCAAGATTCTACCATGTCAAGTGCTACTTTTGAAGGTCTCCTTGGGGGACTGATGCAGGGCCTGACGGAAAGAGTACAATCAACCTACTTCACTAAAGTTTCACCTTGTTTGCATCACGCGTTCTACTGTGTAGACCATGTAGGCCTAGTGGGTTGTGCAGACCATGTAGACCTAGTGAGTTACCTCATCGTGTTTGCTAGGTCTGAGCCCATCTGATCTCGGGCTCTCTCTCTGAAAGGGACAGAGGATTTCTTCCCTGAGCGTCTGCCGTACCTCGGTTCTGCCGCAAAGCTCACACAAGCCTTCCGGCACTGCCGGGCCCTGGCCTAAGGGTCAGGACCATGACAGGTGGCCACCGGTGGTCAGTCACTGTCCCGTCGTGCCTCCGTAGCCATGGGCCCGCCCCCTAGGCATTATGCAGTGGGCTGTGAAGAGCTGGGGGTGGGGGGTGGGGAACTAATTATTGCCCACTATTTCTACCCAGCCTCAAATCCACATTGTGAAGCCAAGGACGGAAACCGGGCATCCTAGACCGAGCGTAGCTGCGGACAGGCGGCAGGCAGCATGCTGAGCTGCTCGGCTGGGCTGCAAACACCTCAGATGCCCATGATCCCACGGTTCCCAGCTGGGGCTGCAGCCGCCTGCCTGCGCTGGGGGGAGGAGTGCATAGTTCATGGTCGTCCCGCAGGACCCTAGACTCCACGGGTTAGGACAGACAAAGTGTTTGTTGCATTTATTGTTCTACCACTACAGAAAAAAGCATTTCAAAATGTGTACAAAAGGACCCTCTATCTCGCCGGGGGCACACCCCTTGTTCACAGCTAAACAGAAATAATTTAACATCACCAGGGAGGCGGATGGGAAATACAACTGCATTTTTTTTTTCTCATTTACAGTCCCGTACACATATATGTTCCAGAATGGTGGATGAAGACCCCAAGCGGCACTGGCTACACACACAACATCATAGAAAAGTATACTGGAAAGTATGTGGAACAATATTGCATATTAATTCCTGGTTACATCTGCTCACTACACACCAAGACCACACCAACTGTGGACGTGCTTGTTTCCCCAAGACTGAACATCTTAAATAAATCGCATTTGGTTCATTTTTTAAAGTGAAACACACACACACACACACACACACACACACACACACACATACACACACACACACACACACACTCTGAACTGAATATGACAGCTGTCTGGATTCTGGGTAGAGCCGACCCTTTGTTATTGCTGAAATGTAGGAAGTGCAGGAGAGAGCCATACGTTTGCTTTCCGATCCATGTAAGTCTATTTGATCTCGCTTTCATTTTGGCAAGAGCGTGACACTTATCAGGGTTACACAGGAATCAGAACAAACAAGAAAAAAATCCCCACAAAAAGAGAAAGCAACCCCCCACCCACCCCCCCCAAAAGAACAAACTCGGATGCCTGTAACAGTAGCTTTCTTTCGCAGTGAAGACTAAGATTTCTTCATGTGGTGGATTCTAAATTGAAAGTGGAACCATGCTAGTGTCTGAAGTGACAGGCACAGGCACCACCCCTTGGTGATGGAGTGGAGATGATGCAATTCTCTTTTAGTGACTCTTTGGATGGGGCAGCGTGTGCTCTAAGGTACACGTCACAGAAGGGACCTGATAAGGAGCAGGTATTCAGGCTTTCGGGCCACAGGAGCTCAGAGACAGAGGGGCAGCGATTTCTTATTGTAATCCGCCGGTCACCCTGCAATAGTGACCCTCTTGCCTCTGATGTTTATTTTAAAATACGGGGGCATGAAACCTAGGCACGCTTCAGATCATATGGGTTCTCAGGACACACAGTCACACCATCCAGCAGCAGAACAGATCACAGAAGAGAAAAGGCGTGAGGTCATGCAAAATCCTACAATGCCAGCTAGAAGAAACACGTGAACGGCTTTTGGTACAGGATGTGAACACCCTCCTAACATAATTTAATTACCGGTTGACGTTATATGAGACCTTTACCTGCAACACAACAATCTCAAAGAAAAATGCTGTTGTAACAAACCACCACAAGGAAAGGCCTGTAAATAGAGGGTTATGTTGGCTAGAAAAGACAGTGAGTAGAGGGGAAGCATTTTAGCAAAGAACATTTGTAGCCTCTATTTACAGTTCTGGGTTACGCTTTGTTTGAAGCCACGGGGGTTGGGGGACAGTGGGGGTGGGAGGCAGGGGAGTTAACTCTTTTCAACCAACTGGCTCTGTGGGACCACGGAAGGGAACAGGGCAGGTCTGAGTGGCCCCAGCAAACTGAAAACGTGTGACACCTCTCCCACTCACCTTGAATATACTCAGAAAGACTTTCTCTGTGACTGCGTATGGAACCGCCAGCGCCCCCTATCTGTCTCTATGGCACTCTACCCAGGGCCTTTGCACAACCCTGTCTCAATCAATGCAATTAAGTTCCTTTCCACTTTCAAAATACCATCCCTGTCCTGTAAGCCAAGAAATGTGAGACTCAGGGATGGTACCTGTGGACGCCAGCCTTTCAGCATAACCGAAACGCACATGGGAAGGTTTGTTTCTGAGGACTGAAGGGATAGACTCATTTACAGAATTTTCAATGAATACAGACAAGCGCGGGTCAGGGGCTATGGTGCGGAGGGGAAATTCTTCCAGCACGCTTCTCCTTGGAAGGCTTTCCCAGACCTCTGACTAGTTTAGAACAAGAGCAGTGTTTCTCAATGAGGGGTGATTTGCTCTCCAGGGGATATATGGCAACATCTGGAGAGATTTTGGGTTGTCGAAGGGGGGTACTACTGGTACCTGTTGGGTAGTGACCTTGAAGGACTCTACGTATGTGAAGTACTGTAGTAAGTATTTTAGAATCCTGCAGGAGAACCCCCCACCACAAAGAATTGCCCAGCCCCAAATGTCAAGGGCACCGTGACTAAGAAACCTCGATTTAGACTAAATGCAGAGGGTCTGATGGACAATCTTTCCTCTGTTGTCCTTTTTCCCCATGTTCACCATGGTTCAGTTTTGGCGAAGACACCTAAACATGTGAAATTGTGTGCTCTTACTTGCCTAGGTGGTTGGGATTATGATCCATAACGACAGGATGAACCTTGAGGTCTATGCCTCTGGGATCGGATCCGAATCACCAGACACCTCAGCTAGGCTCCCGACAGCATGGCTGGGGACGGTTCTAACTCCAGCACCATCTGTCTCTTTCCTGTCAGACCCCACTGGCCGGTTTCGCGATCGCTCCCAACCATTCCTTTCCCAGGGAGAAAGGATGCGGGGCCACGCCTCTTGTCCACGTGCAAGCACACAGGACTGCTTTGTCCTTACGGGCGAGTCTCACACTGTCTCAAAGTTTAGTTTCAAACACGTATGTCCTGTGTGTGAGCAACATCACCTGGGCCTTGCCTGCCAGATTCCCTTACTCTGAAAATTAATAATCACTCTGAATACTGCTTTTATGGGTCTTAAAACCTGAATAATGCAGAATGAGGGCAGGGAAAGGAATTTTACCCACCAACAAGAACAACAACATAGTTGAAATGGGGTCTAGGTTGGGCCTCTCAAGGAAAACCAGGCTTCTGGCTGTCGGTGGAAGCAGCCAGGGAAGGAATGAGTGTAGAATTTAAAATACAGCCTTGGTTTCGCCGGAATCTGACCATGTGAGAGGTTCAGAGGAACTAAGGTCCACGTTTCAGGACGGATGTTAGAAACGTAGTGATGGACTCTGGGCCATGAAAGGCACGACGGGAGGAGGCAGAGGGTGGCGACTCCAGACCTCCTCTAGGAATATGGAGTTCAGACCGCTGTGCTCCCCCCCAAGCCTTAGAAGGCTGAGCCGCACTACAGAGGTTTGGAAATCAAGGAGAGACCAACATGCTCTCTGCTGCCCCCCTTTGTCCGGGAAGTCCCACTTTCCTCCAACATTTTATCTTTTGTGCAGGCTGTGACTTATAACAGCATCTTCCTTTAGAAACTGCAGCCCTAGATGCGTGCGGTCAGAGGCTGGGGCTTGCGTTTCTAGACCCTGCTGTGCTGGGGGCGCTTGGGGGTCCGCTCCCAGGCTCATTCCTTCCCGGGCTCTGACCTGTTTTCATCAAACTTTCTCTGAAAGTGATGAGTCCTACAGAGTTGGGGGGGTGGGTCTTCCAGGAAGCCACAGGTCGAGGGGACATCAGCTAGCAGTCCATGGCAAACATCTAGGGAGAGAGCAGTTTGGGGGGACTCCAAACGTAACCCTGCATCTAACCATAAAAAAATCACCCTCGCGTTCCAAAGCAAATCAAACAAACCCCAACCGACTGGAAAATACAAAACGAAACTAAACAAGGAAACCACCGAGAAATCCGAAGCACAAGGTTCGGGTTCAGTCCGCTCTGCGGGCAGGAGGGGAGGGCCTGGCCCCCCAAGCCCCCTCCGGGCGCTCTTCTCCGGTGGCCGACGGGGGGCTTAGCTCATGTGGAAACGGTGCTCGCCCCGGGTGATGTGAGACGAGAACTCGTAGCGGTCCTGGCTGTGATAGCCGCACATGTTGCACTCAAAAGGGTCACGAAAGCCGTGACAGCCCATGTGGATGGTGTACATGACGTGGTCCAGGAAGAGCACCCTGCAGTGTTCGCACTTATACACCTTCATGGGCTCCCCGCCCGTGCCGATCACGCGGAAGGCGTCCTGGGAGCCGTCGGAGGCCGCCCGCAGCACGTCGTAGGCCGCGTGCTCCTCCTTGATGGACAGGCCATTGCGGGCGTGGGGGTTGATGTGGTTGGTCAGGTAGATGAGGCCACCCCGCTGCTCCTCCGTATTGCTCTCGGTGTCTGTCGAGTCTTGGCAGCTGTTGCTCGGGGACGCCTCCCTCTCGGAGGACACGGACTTGGCCTTGGAGAGCAGCAACAGATTCTCCACGGCGCTGTCCTGGGCCGAGTGGTTGGACCGCGGGGGGCCCTCCGCGTGCGGCTTGTGCAGCTGGTACATGGGGCTGATGACCGGGACCACCTCCGAGCCACCCGGGGGCGTCTGCACCAGCGGGCGCAGGGACTCGGCCCCCAGGTAGCTGATGGCGTTGTTGATGGCTTGGTCCATCACGTGGGTCTGCATCATCTCGTTTTCCTTCTCGTAGCTGGCACTGCTGTCGTAGGGCATGTCCGACAGACACTTGTCCCCTGTGGGAGGCAGGCGACAGTCAGTGAGGCTGCAGCGCCACGGGGGGGGGGGGGCGGCGGCTGAGATCTACACCAGGGGTTGGCCCCCCTTTCACATCGGGGTGTCTTAGAGCTCAGGGGGACACACAATGCAGACACCTCCAGGATGGGGAGGGTGGAAGTGTTTCTGCCTGTGGTCTCCAGCTCCGGGACCTGCCCAGAGTCAGCCCTTAAACTCCCCTCACCCGACAAATGAACCAGTGAACCCAAGTCAACCCCAAGTCAACGCAGGTCAACAGAAACAGCAGAAACCTTCCAACTAAATACTAAACCACTCCTTGTGTCTTTTACTATGAATGTTGTTATATTCACTTTAAGATGAATATTTAAATGATGTACTTTCAATACAGCGTTCTAAGTTGAGTTGCAATAGCTGGTTAATTTCTCATAAATTTATGTAATTACCATACATGAGTACATCATTATTCACAAGCATGTGCGATATGCTCACCTATAACAGTATTGCAGGACGGGGTTTTAAATTCATAACTTCAATACTCAGAATAAAATTTTATCAAAAGATAAGATTTCTGGTAAGAGCTATAGAAAGTGGATTTTTGGCTTGGAGAGGAAACATGCTCAGAGTCCTGTGTCGACATCCTTCCCGATTCTGGTTCCACTTGCCTATTCATCACTGGCAGGACCAGAGGCATGTGCCACACAGGTGTGTGTGTGGGGAAGCTGGGCACAAAGCAGGGAATCTAAGAGGAGGGGGCGTGTCATTCGTCTGTTCTTGCCAAAAATTCCTGAGCATGAATGGTGCACAAGGAACCACTATGGAGGACTCTCCGTGCACCAGCGACCCCTCAAGAAACATCCAGTCTGAGAGTGAGCAAGCTCCCCAGGAAAGGTGAACCCCGAGACCAGCTCTGGCTTTCGAGCAAACGTTTTCATAAAGAAGTAAAATGAATTGCCCTGAAGATGTACCTTCTTGAAACACTGGTTACAGGTTCATGGTTATAGGTATGAAACATTGGTTATAGGTATGAAACATGGCGTAATGAGCGAACTCACCAACTGTCTGCACTCTGATGGTCAGGGCTACTGATGTGCTTTCCGCTGGCATGCTGGTTTATGAATACATCAAAGCACCTGAGGCATACCTGAACTGTTTACATTTTACCACTCACTCTGTTTCTTTTCTTCCTCCAGCATGTCTATGTTGAGCATTGAGTGTCTACTGGACCAGACAGGAGGGGCAGGCAGGTGAGCTAGTAAAAAGGGTCCCATGCTCAGCAGCACACAGCTGACAGGGGACACAGACATTAAAACATGGCTACCAAAACAGTGCATCCCAGGCAGAGAAGCTCTAGGAAGCAAACAGACGGCGTGGGTAACACGGGCTTCTGACCTAGAGTCGGCCAGGTGAGTGGGGCTCGTGTCACACTGCAGGCAGCGAGGGATTCTGAGGGGAGGAGGAGCCTGGAGCTTTGGAGAGATAGGGCGAAGGTGGTGGGGCCAGAGCCTGGGCACAGGGCAGGGCGGGGGTGGTATCTACCAAGCAGAGGCTTTGTCTGGAGGAAAATGAGAAGCTCTTGAAGGGTGTGAAGGAAGCACCCTTCTTAGTAATGAGCAGAAAGTACAAGTCAGAAGGGGCAAAGGTAAGTGGACTCAGAGACTCTCCTAAGAGTCCAGGGAATGGCTGGCCGGTGGCAGGGGAGAATCCCACACCTCCCACAGACACCAAACATCGAGGTCTCCTGCTCATTCTTAGCAACAGGACAATAAACCACCTAGTGGTTCAAAAACTTATTAAGTAATCCTTCTCATCAAATTTTTCTGACCACTGAAGATTGTCCAGGGAAATGCCCCGTCACACTGTAGAGTATCTTGCGTCTCTCATTTCTTGCTTGCAAAAGAGATTTATCATAAAACAGCCTGCCTGCCTTCATTCTAATCTACTGGCCGTCAGGAGAGGCACATGGCCTGATAGTGGTGAAGTGTGATCTTCAGATTACAGAAGGAAACTTTGCTGGCCACACCCTCTGCAGAAAGTGAATAGAATGGATGGAATCTCTCCACATGGCAGATGGTAGGGAACACAGACATGGTGTTTCTGCCCATCAAAAGTTAGAAGAAATAATTGGATAGCATTGCTGAAACCATACAAGGTTTTTTTTGTTTTGTTTTGTTTTGTTTTTGTTTTTGTTTTGCCTTTGCGTTGAGGTGCTAAATACCTTGTTGCTCTAATTCTAGAACAGAATGGATCTGTCCTGACTTATGCGCCCCATCTATCCCTCTACCAAACCCTGGTAGGGACAAGATGGGGCACAAATTTTGAGGCCAATTCAGATATATATCGAAGTGCTTAGAGCCTCATAAAAAATGGTGTCTTCCTGCCTAATCATCCTGTTTCTCCCTAAAGTGTGGCTCTTTAATTTCCCAAGCAATCACTAAAATCCGTTACTTTTAAAACTTGGTCTCAATAACAAATGGATGTAGGAAAAGAACTCACAGATTTCAGATTCCTGTGGCATATTGAAACTACCCACAGAATTTCTCTTCCCTAATACTCCACAAAGTGAGAAAAAGAAAAACCCACTCAGTTCACTTTGGCAATGAGCTAAATAAAAGAACACATTCTAATGAAACACATAGTTCAAAAAAAAATCAAGGACCAAAGAAAGAAATTTCTGACATGAGACATACAGTAAAGGGTGGCCACTGATCTCACTTCCAAAAACCTCAAGTGTGAGTCAACAAAGTTCTCAGCATTCTCCCTAATATCCTCTTTTCTGTAGGGAGCCAATTTAAATAAACATCCTCTTCCATTTCTGACCCCAAAGCAGTGGAAACCTCAGCTGGCAAGAAGCAGATGAGTGTGAGGTTGGCTTTCTCAATATGAGTGAGGTCCTCTAGACGGTAGCTGAGGGGAAATGGTCCTAAGCCCCTAGTGTCCTCCTGTGGGGCTGGGAATCACTCTCCAACCAGGTACAGTAGTAGCTGGTTTAGGACATTTAACCAAATCTCATAATATGAGGGAGAAGGAGGGGGGGGAAGAGAGAGAGAGAGAGAACAGAAAGTCTTATAACAAAGATTGCACTTTGCCTCACCTGAACTCCTTCTTCCCCTCTATCCTTGGCATTCTTTCAGCATTTAGAAAAGTCGACAGCTCTCACAGGGAAAAAAAAATGCCTCCCATACAGTGGGAAGAATGTCCAAACAGCAATCAAACTCTATCAGCCCAAGGAGAATAAGCAAGATTACAAGAAATGTCGAGATCACCATGAAAATACTTTCTAGCAATTCAAAGGAGGAAAGGAAGTAAAACAGACCAATAAACCCATCGTAAGAAAAAAGCTTAACTTAAGAAGGAAGGGAAATGTCTCATAATTACTTTGTGACATGAACTCCGTAAAAAAAGCACTGAAAGACAGCATGCTAAAACAACAGAAGAGAAGTGAAAAAAGGTTTCAGATCTCAAGAAACAAAATGAGGTCCATTTTTTTACAGAATGAGTCCATGGACTAGAAGCAGTGACTAACAGAATATAAGCTACTAAAAATGGAATGATTGACACAGAGGAAAAACAGAAGATAATAAATGTGAATAAATGTAAAATAAAAAAAAGACAAAAAAGAAACTTAAGGAAATGCTAACAGATATGGAAGACAAATTACCCAACATAAGGACAACTGGTATCCCTGGCACAGATCACAACAGATAAAACAAAAGATGTCTCTGCAAGGAAGATTATTTCTCAGAAATAGAGAGAAAACAAGGGATTTCCCAGATTAAAATGGCCGGAACTTTTTTTTTATTCAGAATGCAAAATACCAAGACACATCCTAGTGAGGCTATTTACCTTTAAGACTATTTAACTTAAAGAACTATTCAGGTGTTCAGGAAGAAAATGGAAATCACCTTTAGGAAAAACAAAATCTCAGACTGGCCTTAGACATCTCAGCAGCATTCAACAAAGCAACGCCATCATGGCACCGCACACCGTCAAGACAGAAACGCAATAGGTAGACATCCTCAAACACGTGGCAACTGTGGAAAGAGAGCATCTATAGAATCTTCTTGAAAAAAAAAAAGTTGCTCAAACGTCCAGTCAGTCAAGAGATTAATCACAATAAACAGAAAGAGCCATAAAAGGACTGAGTCTGAGCCTTGAATCTATTTAAATAGAGTGTTAACAAAAAGTAGCTAAACTCCTGTGAATTAGGATTCTGGGAATAGAATGTGAGTATTAGGAAGCAGGAGGATGTACAAATAATACAACTGAACACTGGGGAGTAAAATCATGTCCTTATTTCCCAAAGCTGCGAGTCAGCAGATACTGTGTAAATGGAAACAAATGGATTAAAAAACTGATTTGAAGGTCTTCATGTTTTTCACAATGCAGTGTATCTTTTTAATCTTAGAAAAATCCTCTAAAAAATATCTTTCTGTGAGGAAATGTTTATTTGAAGATCGGCTATGCCTCCAGTTTTACTGGGTTCTTGTTCACCTCTTAAATTTAAGATATCTATACAAATGATATTTGCATTTTGAAATAGCATCTGTAATATGATAGAATCTTTACATCAGTATTTATTTCACACCTGTCTATCAATCCACCTGTTCATCACCTTAGCCCCTTACATACATACATATGGATAAAAATATTTTTAGACTAATGCCCAACTACTCTTAATATTGGTGATTTCTGGATGTTGGGTTTTTTTGGGTGATTTGAAAACATTCATCCTTGCATTAAAATTCTTTATATTAACTATGTGTCATTTTCATAATGCAACAGGGTTGTTTTTTTCTTCCCCGAAAAAGAAAATATACCAAGATAGTTATAATGCGTAGCAAGAATGTTAATTATTGTTATGTTCCTCTATTTCCTCTCCTGTATTTAAAAAACTTCCCTCCTACAATCACCGAACAGATGAGGAACACAGCCTTGCTGTGTAACATGACCATCCCCTTTCTGATGGGCTTTGTCAATCCTGTTGACCTCTATCTGATTATTCCGGGGGATGAGATCTTTGATGACACAACAGTGAGCAATGTTCCCGGCAGAGTAGAAACTTACACTCATGCCAAAGTTCAATTACAAAGTTTTAACCATAGATCATGTATTCAGTAAGCAAATTTATAGGTCATTCTGAGCAATGTCCCTGTGAAAATCATGTCATCTTACATATTTAAGGTGCTTTCAGAAGTTTTGATCAAAAGATTAAGGGATCTGATGATCCTTTTTTGTTTTTTGTTTTTTTTTAAATTTTAGAGATGGAGAAGCTGTGACAAGTTAATAGCTGTTGACTGAAATCCCATTGAATTGAAGTGAGGACAAGGTAGGCATTTGGGGGCAAAAAGAGGCGTTACTTTATATATGCTGAGTTGGTTGAATTAGCAATTTTCTTGGTTTTCTTGGGAAAACCCACAACTGCTTACACAGCTGCTCCCAAACCCTCCCTTCGAACCTCCATGCTGCTGTCCTCACACTTCTGTGCGCCCTCCCCTCAGGGGACTTCTAACATTTGCTTGGCTTGATCAGAGCTGGGTTTTTTCTTTTGTTGTTGTTTTGTTTTTGGGTTTTTTTTTTTTTTTTTTTAAACATGGAAGCATCTAAATCTCAGGACAACAGCTAAGTTGTGGCCTCCTCCCAGGTTGCCGCAGGAGAGGCTCACAATTAGTCTGATATAGTCTGAAGCCTCCAAAAGCTAAATCAGTCTGCAAATGTTCATTAAAGTCCTGAGCCTGACGTCTCCAGTTTCCCGACCTGGAGAAGGCAGACCCGGCTGATCAGTGACCGCTAACAATCCTCAGGAACGCTTGTTACTAGGTCTTTCTTTGCTCCATCTCCCCTCCTGGTGACCCAGCAACTGTCCTCTGCCTTGCCCGCTGCGCACCTTCAACTCTCCACTGCCCACTGCACAGCGCCCACAGCACACCACATGTCGCACACCACCCCTGCCCACTACCCACTGTCCCCTGCATACTGCTCACTGCGCACTGCATACCATCCACTGCATACCACCCACTGCACACTGCCCACCGCCTGTGAGGACCCTGTTCTCACCTAGCCCAGTGCGACCACCACAGCGGCCTATCCTGTGCACAAGGACCTCAGTGCCCTTCTGCTCAGGAAAGGCAGAGTCTCTGTCATTCTCCCCGAGTAAGAGCTCACATGCATGCAGGTGACCCCCACATGGCGTCTTTGGCCAGTGGTTTGCAAAAGTTTTTTAAGCACAATCCTTCTTTCCCCCACCTATGACAAGCCTCTAAAACCCCATCAAAGCCATAAAAACGTGGCCTCTCCTTTGTCCTCCCCGCTTCCCCTGCTGTCATCTGTCCTCTGGAAGCCTGGGCCTCATCACCTATTAACCCCATTGGAGACCCATTCTCTCCCAACGCACACTTTACATAGGCTCCCTTGTGGCCTCCACACCACGGCCTCCACTCCCCAGCCCCCCTGCCCCAGCCCCCATGCCCCTGTCACCAAGACTCTCTGCTCTGTCCCCTCCCTCCCATGCCACCACTGCCCCAACCTTCTGGGGCAGTCAACCTTTGCATGTGCGGTCTCTATTTTCCAAGGCGTGGCGCCCATGAAAAATAGATCAAAGCTTTTCCCGCCTACTGAGCTGAGGATGCATTTCTCACCTCGGCATCCAAAGGCCAGAGCTCTCTGGGAGAGCTTCCCTGAGGGTATGTGAATTAGCCCAGCACGTGTCCTGCTCCTCAGTCAGCCCCATATGTCCCCGGTCCCCCCCAGCCACCAGCATGACTATTTCCCTATGCTTTTATCTGTCTGTTCAGAATCCTCTCCCCTTCTTCACACGGATAGTGTGCTGAAATCCTACTCCCCCATTAAGGTCACTATCAGCTTCATGAAGCTTTTATTAGTCATCTCCTTTCCTGGCCATGACCCTTCCCCCATGATCCTCCTTCCTGGACATGACCCTCCCCACCCCGATCCTCCTTCCTGGACATGACCCTTCCCCCAGCATTCTCCTTCTCAATTATCCTCATGACAGTAGTCGACCTTCACATTGAGACTTCATAAATGTTCTCATGCCCTTGATGTTCATTTATGTTCACAAAACCCTGTGCGGTACCTAAAGAATGGAACCAAGGCTTGGAAAGGTCAAGTAATATGACATAGCTGACAGCGTTGACACGCGGCTGTGCGCAGACACCCCCAGGTCGGGCCCCCAGCCTAGTGCATTTCCACGCTTACATCAGCCTAACTAGCTCTCATTCTTCCTGCACAAGCAGCATGTGGCCCGATGATGGTCACTGGTGCATTTGTCTACCATCTGCGCTGGACAGCAAAGTCCTACAGGAAAGGGACACTCTGATCGTCCTTTTATCCCTCAAAGCACCCGGCACAGGTAGAGATTCAATGGAGAGAACTGCAATTGTGGCTGTTCCCCCCTCCCCGGTCACGTCTCATGGGCCAAGTTGCTATGTGATTCAGGGTAGCCCACCCAGGGGGTATTATGAACTCTGTGTGAAAAATGAGCATCCAAAGCTCAGAGGGGCTGCTCGGGCAGCGGGTGATTGGGCTTGTGAGGAGTCCCTGGCTGCGCTGGGCCCACGTCTCAGTCCCAAGAACACTGGTCCACCGACCCCTTCTACAAGCAGATCTCTTGGGTGCCCAGGATGCTGCAAGACCATGTCTAGGAAAAACTGCCAGGTAATGAATTCATTTTTAAGAAGTTGACTAGAAAAAACTCCAAGGGCACCGTGGTGACTAAGTTAAGTGTCCAACTCTTGGTTTCAGCTCAGGTCATGATCTCACAGTTTGTGAGTTCGAGCCCCATGTTGGGCTCTGAGCTAATAGCACAGAGCCTGCTTGGGATTCTCTCTCTCCGTCTCTCTCTGCCCTTCCCCTCCCCCTCAAAATATGTAAATAAATATTAAAAAAGAAAAACCTCCAAAATATTTAAGAAATGAGAAACCTACCTATGTTTGTTTTTTAAAAACTGAGATACTTTTTCTTCATTCTACTCTCAACTAATTAGCACCTGCATCTACACCACCCGCATAGTTGTTTGTTAAGAGACAGCAAACGTTTGACTCTTACCAACAAATTTCTGAGGCATAGAGCTCTTACGTTTGGCGACGTTACTTGCTAGTCTGTCCAGCACGAGGGATCTCTCTGATCCTATCTTGCACAGATCTTCTGCCATCTCACTGTGATTAGCTTCTTCTTTAATGACTAAAGTCAAAGACAGTGAGAGAGGCCAGTTTAGAAAAGCTTACAGTGAAAGGATTCGGTCGCGTCCAGCGTTAAATCTGACATTTGTCAAGCGCCTATAAGTGCCAGGCCCTTCAGGAAGATTATTGCTAATCTCCCCGGCAGCCCTTTCAGCTGGGACAGAAGCTGCCGACGGCCACCTGCTAATGACATCTGCCGGCCACATGTTATCTCCCGGGACCAAAGGAACAAACACCATCCCCGTCACGAGAAGATAGATGGGATTAAGTAACTGTCTCTCTGATGAGTCCTCTTAACTTTTCCAGTGCTCCCAAATCCACTACCTCGGTCAGTCCTGACACCAGCCTGTTGAGGATCAAAGAGCTAACTGTCAGAGCTAGAAATGACCTGAGGGTCCTATGCCATCGACGGGCACCTCGAAGGGATGAGCAGAAGAAACATGGCAACCCGAGATGGGCGACACAGGGAGAGAACCCAGAGCCCTGGATCCCTGAACACAAGCGAACTCTGGGAAATCAAGTAACACCTGCAAACTGCTAGACCCTGTGGGGGTAAATGTTGCCAGAGGGAGAATTTCCAGCCGACCTCCATTATTTCCATCGACAATTTGGTCTTCTGCAGAATCTGTCTATATTTTAGTATTTATGGTTGGGTTTTTGGAGATAGAACCCTTTCATGCCCCTGCAGTTTATCCTCACATATGAGGAGCGAAAAATGTCAATTAATTACATTTCAAACAGCTAATCAATCCTTCCGGCACCATTTCTGAATGGTCCGCTTAAATCCTGCTGCCCCATTTTTCCCCCTCTTCCTTCTGCAGATATGACGTGCTGATTCATCATGGGATCTATGGGGTCTTCCATTTCTATTCTTGATTTCTGTCTTTTCTCCAAAGAGCTCCATACTGGGGCTGCATTTTAATCCAGCACTAGGCATTACTCTTCCTTTTTAAAAATGCCTACTGTCTCATCTATGTTTCCCGATACACTTCGCCATATTCCAAATTTTGTGTTGCGGCCATGCCTTGATTCGGGAAGACTCGTGCCCGCAGTGTCTGACCCTCCCCCTCATGTTTCTTGCCTCAGCACCGCGTGGTAGCCTTCTTCATTATGCCCTGCACATTACTTGCTAAGATGATTTCTAACTATTTTATGTCTTCATTGCTATTATGAAGGCCGTTTTGGAAACCTATATTTCAAATTGGTTATTATCGCCGGTATATGTTATTTTTTAACATCGGAAATGCGTGTTTCCTGTTCAGTGAGCAGACATAATAGCCCACACCCTGATTGATATGAAGGATACAAACAGAATCCATGGAACCCAAGTCCAGTGGCGTGCACATGTGACCTACGGATCTCACATGCTTTGCCCACATGTCTGTCTTTCTCAGCCAAACGGGGCACTGCGGGGTGTTCTCCCTGCCCAAGGCCACAAGGCCTCCTGAGACTCTCAGGGTCATCACGGTGTGGGACAAAGGAGTCTCAGACTCCCAGGTCAGCGGCTACTCTGTCTCTGATGCATTTTCCTGCAAGAGCTTATAACACGATTTGTGTACCTGAATGATCACCTTCCAAGTGCTCAAGAGAAACTTAACTTTGTCCCTAAGGTAAATTGTGACAGATGACCAAGAAGCCTTTAGCTAAATAAAGTTATATTCAGAACAATTAAGCTCCCCTACATCCTTGCTAGGCTAGGCTTTGTTTTTCCCCAACCCCAAAGAATGGCCCCAACTCAAGGGGATTGGGGAGGGAAGAGGCTATCTGGGTGTCCCTGTGAGCACCGAGGGGGCTGGTCTCCAGCTCCATAGGGAGGATGGGGCATGAGACACACACAGAAGGCACGGGATCGACCAGCCCTGGCACAGCAAAGCTAAGTGACCAAGACACCCCCTGCCCACACCTCAGCAGTCCACTTCACCCACAAAATCCCAGATCTTGTCTTGCAGGACTTTGACTGAAGTGTTTTTATGGATTCCCTCCACCCCCCCGCAGCTTTCACCACATGCCCGAAGCCTTCTTGCCTCCCGAACACAAAAACACAAGGACCCCTCACTGCCATACCATATGCCAAATAATCTGATCACTGAAGGGAATCAATTAGCATTTCAGGACCAAGTTGATTCTGACCATGGGGTAATGTATATATTGCTGCCATACGCTCACTGACATGGCCAGCCAGCAGGGGAGAACTGTCAGGTGTCCATACTTTGGTGACTGAAACATGTGTTCAGATGAGTGGGTGATATGTGTCTGTACTCTCTGCCCTCGTTTCTACCTGGTCGGCCAGGCAGGAATTATCGTTCCTACTTAAGAGCACGGGGTTGCATTCAAAAATGGGCGCAGAGATGCAACTTGAACCCAGGTCTCAGGAACCACCAGAATGAGCCTGCTGTGACCTCCTAGCCTGTTTCTTCAGTAATAAAATGGCGGAGAAAATCAGTGTGCCCTGTCTGTGTCTCTTGTTCATTCTGTCTTCTCGACTCCATGGGTATGGTTCTAAAGTGAAATTCAGGTCACTCTATTCAAATAGGGCTCAGTACAGTAGATGATAAATTGCGGCAAATATCCGTGGGGTCGATGGCTTATTTTAACATGGGTTAGTCCATTTTGGAAACATATGGTTGAAATTGGTTATTATGCCTGGGATGTGCAATTTTTTTTACATCAGAAATGGTGTTTTTCATTAAATGGGCAACCATAAGGGCTCACATCTTGATTTACATAAAGGATACATACAAAATCCATAAAACCCACTGTCACTGGTCTCATGTTTGAGCTCTGGAGCTAAGATGCTTCCTCACGTGTCCCTCCTTCTCAGCAAAGCAGGGCACAGGGGCACTATGTCCAAGGTTCCATTCATTTATTTTTGGCAGGAAAATACAATGCCTACATAAAGCTTAAATTTTATTCTAAAGGAGCACCATCATCCTCTGAACCTATAGACACCACCTTGGGGTTTGGCCACAAATTGATAACTAGTACATGACTCTTAGGATTTTAATATCTGGCGTCCCCTCTTCTAGTAACCCTCCACACCTTTCCATTCTAGAAACAGACCTCACACTTTAAAGAAAGCTAAATGATCATTCGGTGGGATCTCCCCATTTTACAGGCAACAAGGGTAAGGCTCACCCAGAGAGGTCAACAGTCAGCTCCCAGACCCACAGCTAATCGGTGAGGCAGGCAGCAGTAGAATCACAGAGGGGTTGCTGTGTAAAATGTTGCCCCTTGATGCCAAAAGTATCCAATTTTTGGACCTCCATTTTTTTTTAATTTCTTTTTTTTAAGTTTATGCATTTATTTTGAGAGAGGGAGAGAGCAGGGGAGGGGCAGAGAGAAGGAGAGAGAGAGAGACCCAAGTGGGCTCCTCACTGTCAGCACAGAGCCCGATGTGGGGCTCGATCCCACGACCCTGGAATCATGACCTGAGCTGAAATAAAGAATCAGATGCTTAACCAACTGAGCCACGCAGGCGCCCCAGAATTCCATTCTGACTGTTCATCTCTCCTGTTCTCACCTGTCTTTAATCTGATTCTCTCGACCATATTTCATGCCGCTCAACTATCCACTTACCATGATTAAGAGAGTAAGTTGTATGTTATGTGGATTTAACCAGAGTAAAAATACAGTAAGTGATCACCTAAACTTTTAAATTATAAAAGCGGTCTGAGCATTCCCTGGCCAGTTTCCTTTATAAGCCATTCACTAAAGCCAGAACACTGAGTGAGGTTTAATAAACTTTCAGCGCTTAATTTCACTTCTGCTCCCGGGTCCCATGATGATTTTACCAGTGGTGGCGTCAAAGAAACAGCATTAGTATGGAGGTCAGTTTCTGTTGATCTATTCGTAAATTTCTTATGTCTTAAGAAGTTAGAAAGGTGCCTTTTTTAACAGCGCTGTCCCTTGGAGTAAATTCAGCCTCCTTTGACACCAGTGTGTGCCTCCTTCACTTTACATTATCTAAGATCAGAGTCAAGTGCTACCCAGTGATGTGATGTCACAGGCATCAAGGCTCATAAGAAAAAAACAGCCCTTCCTCGAATCCTGTGACAGCCACAATCCTCTTGACTGTCAGGGTTTTCCAAAGAGCTCACTCATTCCAGGCATGGAAATGAATGAATGAAAACCCAGCCTGAAAGCTTCTATTTGATCAACTTCATGAAAAAAAGAGTTTTTAAGACAAGATTTCACATATTTTGATGACTAAGCACAAAGAGTCAACTGATACTCCTGGTTGAATTAAAAAAATTACCAAAAACCAAGAAACGTTTCCCCCTCCCCCACAAAGTTTCTGGGGTCACTATTCTCTTAGACGCTTCCCCAGCTTTCAAGAGTGGGGGGTTCAAGGTCAGGCTGTCTCTGGTGAGATGAGGGCTTCAAAAGTTGGGAAGCACAGAGTTCTCCGGCCAAAAGCATCCTTCTGTCGGGGCGGTGGTGGCTCGCATGCCTGAGTTGTGCACCCGGCGCTGTGGGCCCGGGGTCTTTCTTCACCGCTTGCTGGGGAGGGTGAGCCAGCGCTTACCTGGGTACAGCGTGCCTGGAAGGCCCATGCTTTGCAAGTAGTTGTGGCAACGCTCTTTATGTTCCTCTAAAGAGCTTCGCTGTTTATAGCTTCGGCCACAATATCCACATTTGTGAGGTTTACCAACTGCAGAAAACACAATGGAGTTCAAGACCCCAATTAAATACTGGCCTTAGGTGTAATGGGAATGCATGCAATACAATCAATACCAAAAAAAGGCAAAAAAAAAACAAAACCCAAAACCCTTCTGTCTTGAGAGCTAAAGTGGACTCCTCTGTCAAAATTGCTAAGTTTAAAAATAGTAATGCCCTGGGTTTTCGTTGAATGTACCAAGACCTCATGTGACTGGTTTCATCTTCATTTGCCCACTATCCTAACTCTCAAATTCTCTTCCACTGAAATCACTGTTCTTTCGCTGGAGGAAATGGGCCACTGCGGTGTGCTCACATGGGTGCCACACGGGCAGAAACGTGAAGGATGTCCCCAGTTGGCTGGATGATACACAGATTCCCCTCTAAAGTCAGAGTCATCCATGTCTATGCTGGAGGCCAGGTCTGGCACGACACTGGCAACAGATCTAAATGCAGCCAAAATGGATTCAGTTCCAGAATGCTAAGCTGGATCATTTGAGGTCTTGAAGAAACCATGGTGGACAGATGTGCATTAATGACAATGAGCATTTGTTTCCCCAATATATTCTCTTGTTCTGGCTTTGAAAAGCTCTGTGTTCTCCCCAAAAGCTTAAGGATGGTGTGGTCTCTGGATCAGCCCTGTCCAAAAAAACTTACTATGACGACGGGTGCGTTCTTCATCCACGCTGTCCAATGTGATAGCCGTTGTGCTGTTCAATATGGTGGCCACCAGCCACCTGTGACTACTGAGTGTGCAAAGTCTGGCTAGAGTCATCAAGGGCTGAAATTTTGATTTTATTTAAGTTTAATTGATTCAACGCCACATATGGCTAGTGGCCACTGCTTTAAGCAGTGCAGCTTATATAAAGAGGTTAGTTCTTCCCAAACTTTATGGAGCAGTATTTTAGGGACAGAAGACTCACACCAAGAAATTCATACTGTGCCCAAGCTTAAAGACTTTCATAGCATTTTAAGAGATGAAATCAGTAAAGTATCTTTATTCATATAAGGAATATAAATTTCCATCCTAAGACTAGAATCTTCTCCTACTTCCTTCTCATGTTGTTAGACTTCACGTATTTGAATGTATTATGTAAAAAATCAATACCATCCAAATTGGAATGCTTGGTAAAATGGCTTAACCAAAGCTTCTACTGGTTGGATCTTCTCCTTAGGTGAACAGAAGCAATGGTTTGAGAAGACGAAGACAAAACCCAAAAAGTGATTTTTGGAGCATTTAACAGAGGAAGAGAGGGATTGATCTTTATCTGTAGAAAGCATTGTATCCTTAAATTGGGGAAGTAAACTTGAAATGTACATCTTTATCTGAAGAAAGCATCGTATCCCTAAAATTGGGGAAGTAACCTTGAAATGTACATCTTTATCTGAAGAAAGCATCGTATCCCTAAAATTGGGGAAGTAACCTTGAAATGTACATCTTTATCTGAAGAAAGCATCGTATCCCTAAAATTGGGGAAGTAACCTTGAAATGTACATCTTTATCTGAAGAAAGCATCATATCCCTAAAATTGGGGAAGTAACCTTGAAATGTACAGTGCTGCCTAAAACACACCTTGAAGCATAGCCCAAGATTCTGAAGGAAAGAAAGTCTCTTGCTCAGGTTGCTCCTTCCAAAGAAAGTGGCGAGGAAGGAAGGGTCTTCCCACCCTGCCAGACCACCCCACCCTGCACCAGTCTGGGACAAAGCTATAGTTACCTATCACCACTAATGTGTTGTTGGCCTTTGAAGCCTCAGGCCACCACCAGTCGCCAGGAAAAGCTGTGAGACTGAACATGGTTTTAGTGGAGTTGGGAGAGTGGCAATGGGCCACGGACACAATGGCACAGAATGTGACCCCCTTTGGGTTTGCAGACAAGACTGAAGTCTTCATTGTATTCTAGTGAAATCGTCTAACAGAGCCTCCCTCAGTGTCTTTTCCAAGAGCTGTATGGCTCTCTCAGGTTGGTGGAGTCAGCGGGAGCCCTGGGTCAATGGTATAGTACTATCTACTTGGTCATCAGCACATCCGTAATAGAAACAAGCTGTCCGAAGCCTACCACTCTCATGCATAATTACTCAAGTCATTGGCCATGCTTAGAACACGGTACCATCACGCCTTGAAGGAAATCCATGGGCATGGAGCCAGAGTGGTCTAAAGTACTGCATTGGATGTTCCAAACTTCACGATCAGAAGGAAAGAAAAGAGAGAAGCATCACTTCAAGGGTTAAGGGTGACTATGCAGGAGAGATCTTGGTCACCAATGAGAGGAACTGGGGAATTTGGTGGCATGGCTGGTGGCACCTAAGGATGAGTCTTGGTGTTTTCCACCTATTGGTTCCTACTGCCTCAGTGGGGGTACTGTTGGCGACCGTGCTGATATCCACTTGACCTGCACAGATGACAGACGTGAAGTTCCTTTGTCCTAGACCACCCAGGCGGTCGGATGGTCACATCTGAAGCCTTGTCATCTCCCTGCGCACCTTCACCTCTGGGGTGGGGGGGCAGCACACGCGCTCTGAGTTACTGACACACGCAAACACTGAAGAACACTCACGGTCCCCCTCCCATCCTGCCATTTGGGGTGGGCCATCTGTTCTCCCTGACCCCAGCAGCACAGCCTTTCCCCAGCCCCCAGCAGGTGCCACGCCCCACTGGGGGGAAGGGGTGGCACCGGCCTCACTGTCACCCCTGTGGACCTTAGCTTCGTACAGCTCCTCTCTTGGAAGATTTTAAGTTTTCTAATTAAAGAGCATTTGGGGAGCCTCCCACAGGTGGGCTACCAGGAAGGGGAGGAGCATGGGGAGGAGCTGGACCCCAAAAGGGAACTGGCAGTCCCAGGCCCCCACGACCACCCACCTTGCCTCCTCATGAGCTCCGGCAGGCACCCCTCCAGGAGAAAGACAAGAAACACTGGCTAAAATGCGTCCCGCGCCCCCGTCTAGGGCCACTTCCAGATTTACGCATTCATGGGGAATGTGTCTGAAAGTAAACCTTAGAAACTCACCTTCCACTGTGGACTCAAGCCCCTGCTTTTATTGAAGTCTCTCTCCTGAAGCTTCCTGCCCCGCCCTGGAGACTGGCTGTCCCCTCCCTGCACTCCCACTGTCCCCTCAGAGGCTGCTGTCACCACACCTGTAACACGTTGGTGCTTTGCGACCGCCCAGCTGCCTCCTCCACAGACAATAAATGTGGGTCGCTCAGTAAATGCTCAGTGGCCACGGAACAGGGCACAAGGAGAGGCCACTAAAACCTCACCATGAACTACGCTCCTCACATCTGGGAAGGAGACAGGTGACAGCCCATTCCCCGAGGTGAGGCATCCCTGCCTGCGGGGACAGCGTGGCCCTGGCGATGTGGAGCTGGTCTGAAGCCTCTCCCTGCCCCACGGCATCCTGCTCCGGAGAAGCCGCTGACCCCCTGATGGTCTGGATGATGGGCTCCCAGAGGGGGTACGGCATCCCTGCCGAATGGAGTGCCCCTCACTTTGCTTCTCTGACTTAGAGGACTGTGGGGCCCCTTCACAGACTAGCAAGGAAGATTCCTCAGGAGGCAGAAGATCCAACCTAGTCCCAGGTGGATGTGTGCTTCCCAGGTTGGGAGCTTTTGGGAAAGGGTCCAGCATTCATGATAAATAAGATTCTTGGCGACTGCGGGTTATTCCAGATACGTTTACTAACATCTGGTAAGAGCCTCCGAGTGGCCTCTCAGCAGAGGAGCGACTGCCTCCTGGCATGAGAGTTACACAGTAGGAGCCACTCAGGGCGGGGTCCCCCTGGTGGGCGGGCTGACAGGCGTGTCCCCAACCAGGACAGATAGCCGAGGGCCCTTCTCACCTCACCTCTCAGCTTTGCAAAGAAACTATGCCCGTGACCGCCGCTCCCGAGAACTCTGCGTTGAGCAGTAATACGAGGGGCTTAACAATTAAGATGAAGAAAGGTCCTTGGGAACTTTGGGGACAGTACCCGCGCACCCCGTGGGGAGCACAAGGCTGGCAAAGTCGCTTAGAGGAGCCCCACTTACCTGTTGAAACACTCTCTATAAACTGAGACTTCCGCATACGTGTGTGGTGTCCCACCCACATCATCTGGGTCCCAGGGGGTCAGAACTGGGGATGGGGCACCGTGCAGGACATGGGCGGGGCCTGGGGGGGGGCTCCCCGGGGCGGGAAGGCCTGCAGGGGGCGCGCTCCGGGGGGGCCGGCGCCCCAGAGGACCTACCGGAGTGCGTCCTCAGGTGGCCGGTGAGGGCGTCCCGCCGGCGGCACGCGTAGTTGCAGAGATGACACTTGAAGGGCTTCTCCCCAGAGTGCAGCTTGATGTGCCGGAGCAGGTTGCCCTTTTGCGTGAAGGAGGCCCCGCACTGGTTGCACTGGAAGGGCCGCTCGCCTGGGAAGAGGAGCGGGGAACCGGTGAGATCAACACTCTGCACGCACACAGGCACAGGTGCAGGGCCCGCGAGGAAGTTGTTTCCCACGGGGGCCCCGGTGACTTCCAGCCGCTGCAGGTTTGATAGAACACGAGGCTTTCAGACTAAACCTGCCAGCTCTTTAACGCTTCGCTGGTTGGGTCAATTTGATCTGAAAATCTAATTTTTTTTCCCTAAATCAGAATGGCACATCACAATGCAAATTCAAACTCATTTAAATAAAGCGACGGCAACATTTTGTGATGAAGAGCCACTCTTCCTGATCAGCAGTTTTGGAATAAACCAATATCCAATTTTGCGTGTTGTGGCATTTGGTGGGGTTTTTAATGTGGCTTTTTTTCAAAGGGTCTTTAAAATATGCCACTGAAGCAAGCAAAATAAAAAGGAAAGTCATTAAAAATGCATTTCAGGATCACAAGTTCATTTCAGCGTTACATTCTTATATTTAAATGAAAGGCACTTCATTATAACTGTTATAATAAGTTCTTTTCATTTACATTTCTCCTGTATTTTCCCTTTCAATTTCTTCTCCATTACCTGTCTGTCCCTACGTGGGCAAATCAGGAAGGAGACAGACAGAGAGAGTGTGAGGCTGAGAGAGAGAGAGAGAGAGAGAAAGAGAGAGATTGAATAAAATAAGAAGTTAAGAAAGAGAAGTCCAAAGACAAGTCCCGAATCTCCACCCCCACCCCCATGGTGGGGTATCCAAGCCAGAGCCACAGGGAGGTTTCTGGCTTTTTTTTTTTTTTTTTTTTTGCTTTCCTTCCCAAGTCCTGAATCCTCTAAGCTCTTGCTGGCCTCTATGCGCAGAAGATAAGTTGTATTTTCAGCACAAATATTCTAAGAGATGCACATGAGTTGCTATTAGGAATTCTGGGGGGGGGGGGTTGCAGCTGAAGGGTGGCCAAGAAAGTGTGGGAGCCTCTGCTGGGTGTGGCAGTGCCTGACTATATGCTGGGGTCCCACAGAGGGACACACAGGCATCTGTGGGAAAGAAATATGCTACAGATTGGTCCTGGGGCTCGGACTCCCTCCCACTTCAAGCCAGTGACCATTTCACTTAGCCCTCATGTAAGAAAAAGAATACAGGGGCGCCTGGGAGGCTTAGTCGGTTAAGCGTCTGACTTTCGCTCAGGTCATGATCTCGCGGTTCGTGGGTTCGAGCCCCGCGTCGGGCTCTGTGCTGACTGCCAGCTCAGAGCCTGGAGCCTGTTTCAGAGTCTGTGTCTCCCTCTCTCTCTGACCCTCCCCTGCTCACGCTGTCTCTCTCTCTCCTAGAAATAAATAAAAATATTAGAAAAAAGAAAAAAGAAAAAGAATACACCTGGGGTGTCTGGGGGGCTCAGTCGGTTAAGCGTCGGACTTCGGCTCAGGTCATGATCTTGCAGTCCGTGAGTTTGAGCCCTGCATCCGGCTCTGTGCTGACAGCTCGGAGCCTGGAGCCTGCTTCAGAGTCTGTGTGTCTCTCTCTCTGCCCCTTCCCCTGCTCACACTCTGTCTGTCTCTCTCTCAAAAGTAAGTAAACATTAAAAAAAAAATTAAAAAAGAATATACTTGTCAGGCTGAAGGACACATTAAAGCTCTTTTGGAAACGACTGCTTTCTTTCTTTTGTTTTTTAGAAGAGCTCTATGTGACCACAGTATCTGGTGTTGAGATACCATGAAAAAACACTTCCTGGCAACGTGGTTTTTTTTTTCCCTTAGGAAAAAAGAATGTGTGAAAATGAAAATGCGTCTTTAACTTTGTTCCCAATTGATTAATGTGGTTTGGGTGAATGAGACGGAACTCTGACCAAAGTAGAAGCGTGTCTGGTCCTATGAAAATCTACACCAGCTTCAAGGTAAGAGTTCACACTGGCACCTGGACAACATGATGGTGACCGCTTTAGTTTTCGAGCAGGGAGGGCGGATGTGCTACTCCAAAAATTGGCACTAACGTGTGATGTTTCACTGCAGGCAGGGTGGGAGGGAGGCTGCTACCAAACAGGGTGTATTCGCTATTTCCCCAAATCTGTATCTGGGTTGCACTTGGCTGGGCAAAGAAAGGGTTGAAAGTCAAGCCAGTAAGAGGCTGGCAGCAAAGCTGACTAGCAAGAATGCAGTCCCTGAGTTACAAGCCCATGTGTATCAGGAGGAGATTGCAAGAGCTGGTGGCCAGGTGGCCCTGAGAAGCATCCAGTAGCATCTAATAATCTATCAGAAACATTTCTGGGCCTTTGTCATCCACGTGCATGAACGTGGATCTCTGAACTGCGAGCAGGTGGAAGGGAAAAGAGGAGTAAGCAGTCCCTGGGTGCGAGAGACCCCGCAGGGTGGAGCGGATTATGTCAGGGTGAACCTTCAGCTGGGCGTTCCAGAAGGGCAGTCAGTAAGGAACGCTCACGCCACAAAAAAGCTTATAAAAACCATGGAGGACCCTTTCCAGTAACAAGGATGTGTTGTGGCATGACCTAGAGCTAGCCAGCTAGCTAGCTGGGGTACCCCCTCCCCGCTGCTGAGGCTGGGGGGCCCTGCAGCGGACATAGGAGGGGCAGATCATTAAAGCCACACTCCCCAGCCCCCCACCTTCCACAGAAGAGGGCGGGAAGGAAAGAAAGGCGGCCCTCTCTTCAAGAGTGAAATCTGTCTTCTAATTTGAGTCAGTGGTTCTCACGTCTCTTGCTGTGCCTGGCGTCTTAATCCTGCTGGCCAGCTTTCCTGGAAATCTATTTGTTTCTGATTGCCTGGGCCGGCATGAATATTCAACGTGGGACATGGAGACTCTAGAAGGGAGCGTTCTCCAAAGTGACAACACAGTGTTCAACTCGAGGCAGTTTCCCTTTGGAAACAGGAAGGGGGGGCACCGCCCCATTGCTGGGCGGCAGAACGCAGCCCATATTATCTGTGTTTCTCTGTTTGCCACTGTCAGCTGCTTGCCTCGTGTGGGTCCTCCGCTCGCGTGTCTTAGCTAAGGGAGCTCAAGGGCTCTGGGGCTGGATTTCTTTTACGCAGTGGGATGAAGGCTTTATCATCCTTAACTCAAAATTAAGTTTATCTCAGTGACTGTACAGAGGTGCCACTTTAGGGACTCTCTGTAAGAATGTTTGAGCCCCAGGGCGCCTGGGTGGCTCAGCTGGTTAAGTGTCTCTTGATTTCGGTTCAGGTCATGATCTCAGGGGTTCGTGCAATTGAGCCCCATGTCGGGCTCTGTGCTCAGAGCCTGGAACCTACTTGGGATTCTTCCTCTCCTTTTGCCCCTCTCCCGCTCGTCTCTCTCGCTCTCTCAAAAGAACTAAATAAACATTGAAACATTTAAATGTTTTAAAAAAAGAATCTTTGAGCCCCTTTGTACAACTTAATGGGTAAAAAACAAAGTCTTTATGGATGCTTCCAACAAAATTTAAGAGGGTCTATCAGAAGAAGGTAGATTAGGGGTGCCTGGGGGGCTCAGTCAGTTAAGCGTCTGACTTCAGCTCAGGTCATGATCTCGCAGTTCCTGAGTTAGAGCCCCGCATCCGGCTCTGTGCTGACAGCTCAGAGCCTGGAGCCTGCTTCAGATTCAGTGACTCCCTCTCTCTCTCTGCTCCTCCCTGCACTTGCTCACTGTGTCTCTATCTCAAAAATAAACATTAAAAAAAAGTAGGTAGACTAAAAAATACACACCCCAGATGCAAGAATGAACTTGTGCTGACTGCACCTCAGACCAGATCATAATTTGCTGCTGTTGACGTGCCGGGCCTTTCGCCTTTACAGATGGGAACAGAGTAGGCCCGAGACTGTATCGATAATCATAATTCAGATGTTTTTCTTTATTGTTAAAGGTCCCATGGTTTAGAATAAGAACGCTGCATGTTTGCATGGAGGGGTTTCCCCCTGCCCTGCACGCCTCTTTCATAGCACTCTCCCCTGTGATTCTCACATTCGCCCTAAGGTGTTGGCGGAGAAGGCAGTGCTATTACGTTGCAGTTAAAATATAGAAACCGAGCAGCAACACTAGCGAAGGAAGTGGTGGGGTCAGCAAACAGTTCAGACAATGGCACAAACAGCACCTCACCGAGGTGGCGATATGGGGCGCAGGGACGGGAAGGGAAGGGGGAAGGGGACCCTGGTGTGCCAGGCTCGCTTGGCAATGGGCAGGGGCAGGTCCTGACTTCCTGGGGGGACAGGAGTAGGCTGTGCCCTGGCTCCCATGTGAACAGCCATCCAAAGTGGCCACATGTCCTGCCGTACACGAATGCTCTGGGTCTGGGCTCCAGCATCTGGCACATCCTCTGCGGCCCGCCCTAGCGTCTTGCACGCTCATGTGATCTTCTGGTGATTATACGGCCTTGCAGTTTGCGAAGCATTGCCCTCGAAGCTCGAAGTGTGGAGAGTTCAGGGTGGGCCTGAGGGCTGCCATTACTCTGCTGGGATCCCAGAAAAATGGGAAGCTCCCTAGCACGTCTATGTATATGAGCCTAGTTTGGCCAGTATGTTTCTGGAAGTACCTGTGACCTTGACCTCACATTTACAGGAGTGGGGATGCATCGTGAAAACAGTCCAAGGGCTTCCTGTCTCAGTCTGGTTGTCTGTTTAATAAAAGCCACGCCGGGACCCATACAGTTGATGGTGCCTGTGTCCCTACTTCTGGAACTTCCTTGTTCTGTAAGGGAAGTGCGGTTGGTATGTACCCTGGCACTCAGCCGTTATTTGTGGGAGAGCAAACGGCCAGGGCCCCTCTGCGTATCCATACTTGGCAGGTTGATTCATTAAATGCAATTATTCTTTTTATCAGGGCAGGCAGTCATTATATTTTGGCAATTTAGTATGCCAGAATTTGATTCACTTATCAAATATTTATTTAAGAGAATTCTCACTGTACATTCAGGCTTTACATGAATTAGCAGGAAAGTAATTCATTTGTGAGCCCTCTTCCTCCATCAGGAATGTATTAACACGGTCCAGGCGTATTCTGTTAAGCGTCTATCACAGAGTAACCTACCTTTGCTTTAATTTCTGCCTCATTACCAAAGGGGAGAGCCTGACTACTCTCCCGCAAGCCCCGCTTAGGGCTTGATGGGAGGGGTCTATTTCACTGGATAATTTGAAAATTAAGGGATGCATTAGGAAAAGCAAAGTTTGCTTAATTTCAGAAGTCAAATTTTCTACCAAAGAGGAATGCTCAGCGAAAATAAACCTCTTTTCTCTGGCTTTCTGGAGTGGGGGCGGGGAGGGGTATTACAAATGGAAGACATCATTTTGGAGCCTACCCTGATTCCGATGTAAAAATTACAACTCCACAGAGGTCTGCACTTCCTCCCAAGCCCACTAATTTGCTCAGCTGTTTTTCTGAACGCCCGCTTAATTTCTGATAATCACATATTTCTTTGGCCCCGTGTGAGACTCACACAAGGCTGTGATTTGCAAGTCTTCTTCCTACTTCCCTAAGCTGTCTTATAAAGCCAGACGCCTCCAAAGCCTCCAGCAGACAGAAGCTTCGATAGGAAATTCGTTACCAACTGCTGGTGGAAAGGAGGCACAACGAACCACCTTGTCCTCGGGCTCACCCACTGGGTCGTCCAAGAAATGATCTGAACTCTGTAAAAGATTGTCTTCTGCAGCTTCTGTGTCCCTCCCTCACGTTTCTAAAAATCCAAGCTCTGTGAGTTTGGATTTAAGACATGCACATTTTGGGGCACTCGGGTGGCTGAACTGGCTCCTGATTTCAGCTCAGGTCATGATCGCACGGTTTGTGAGTTCAAGCCTCACATCGCGATTTGTGTTGACAGCGTGGAGCCTGCTTGGGATTCTCTCTCTCTCTCTCTCTCTCTCTCTCTCTGCCCCTCCCCTTTTCTCATGCTCTCTCAAAATAAATAAACTTTAGTAAACAAATAACAGTGGTTTAGGAGGCATCTTTGTTAAAAAAATAACGCAAAGTTTACTCTTGGTTTCTCCGGAGGTGGGGGTGGGGTGGGGTGGGGAACCTTCGAGGAATACATTTCAGTGGGTCGATCTCTTTTGGGCTTTATTCCGTCTTGTGTCAAGGGTGGGCCCATCTGGAAGGAGACCCCTAAGAGCACAGCCCTCGCTACTTAGCTTAGCGGCGGGACCCCGGGCCCCAGACAGAGCGTTCATGGCCCGGAATGCTTCCCTCCCGTACAGGAAGGAATGGGTGCAGGTGTCTGGGTGGCTGCAGAAAAACACTACGCTTGGGAGACGGGCTCCGAACACTCAGCCGAGACAGGGCAGTTTCCTCCTGCCACACCCCGAGGACCTTTCCGGGTCACCGAAGGGGGGACTACGCCAGGCCTTACCAGTGTGGCTTCTTTTGTGGACCATGAGCACATTGGGGCCGATGCAAATTATCCCACAGACATCACACTTTAGTTTGCCGTTAGGAAGTCGAATGCCTCCAGCTCCTGACAGAGCTCTGCTGCCTTGGCCACTGTGGGAGCCATTCATTTTCTCTCCCGCGGCATCAAGCACTCGTAAATCCTCCGCACATTCTTCCCCATTCACTTCACAGGCCCGCCCATTCTCTTCATCACTCTGAGCCTCTACTTTAACATTACCGGCTGAAAGACACAATACAGGGGCCACTCAGTGTCATCGCAAAAACAAAACAAGACAAAAACAACACAGCAGCAAAAGGACACCACTTCCACGCGGAGAAGGTTCTCGAAGGTTCTCAGCAGCCTGGGCCACGGGAGGGCAGTCTGGGGCTGTGGTCATGTCCCGCCCACCTGGGGCCCGGGGGCTGGGGGTAGGGGGCTGGAGGGGAGAACCAGTCATGGTGACACAATGCATGTCCCATGTTGGGCAGGCCGGGGTGGAGGGGCGGGGCAAAGTGGTCACATGCGTCTCCTGGGCTGGGGAGGGGGAAAGAGCTGGTCATGTGGTATGCCACCCACTGGGGGTGGGCAGAGAACCAGTTACATGATGTACCTTCTGTGGGGGGAGGGGGCTCGGCGGGGGGCGGGGGGGCAGATTGGCCACGTGATATGCCTCTAGTGCTGGGTGGGCGGGAAAGAACTGGTCATTTGATGTGCGGGCCCTAGCCAGGGCGGACGGGGCCACAGTGATATGCCTCCCGTGCTGGGGCGAGGGGGGACTGGTCACATGATATGCCTCCTAGGCTGGGCACAGTCCCTACTAAGTGATAATCAAGCCTGAAAACCTCATCTTGCTTAGCGATGTGACCTTTCCCTGTGTCTGGGACAAAGCTCAGTAAACCTACACTCATATTTCTGGCCACGGATGCCCGAAGGATTTCTCAACGGGTTTTGTTTCTTTGGCACGTGGTCGTTCTAACTCCTTTTAGTTCATGATCATAAAACCTGCGCCCTCGAGTACAGCCACCGTGTGGCACGTGTCCCCAAATGGCTGAAGGGTCAAGTGGCGTCTTTGTAAAAGTGGCAGATCACATTAGCCTTTCAGATGGACAGACCCCTGCATGAGGGTGAAGGGCTACTGTTCACCAAGGCACTGACCCCTATTTACTCTGTAGTAGTGCCTCCTGTAAGTCACATTTAGGGTGGTGATTTCGGTCCTTCACATGTTTTTCTTGGTAAAGAAAATCAGAGGCATCTCATTTGTAATCTTGTGAAACACAGCCTGGTGACAAATTGGTAAGTCCATCACTGTAGTAAGAAGGAGAAATCATGGCTACCCTGAAAGCTATCATCTCTGTCATGGTCGCTGTAGGTTAATGGGAGCAGGTAGGTGAATTTGGTCAAGTACAGGAAACAATGACGTAGATAGCAATCAGGACTATAAGACCTTTGATCGACGTTTAGAATCACTGCTCCAGGCCTGGTCCTTGGACCAGCAGCAGCAGCATTGCCCGAGAACTTGTCAGAAGAGCAAATTCTCTGGTCCGCCTCAAATGCACAGAGCTAGAAACTCTAAGGGTGGACCCTGCGCTCTGTGTTCTCATGAGCCCTCCAGGGGATTCCAATGTAGCCAAGTCTGAGACCACGGTTTTCAATAATCAACCTAATTAATGACACTCCAAGTTCATTTTATTCAGTGCCTCGATGCGACTAAATCAAGAGCCCAGACTCTGAAGTCAACATTCCTGGCTGGGAATGTCAGCTCCACTCCACTCGCCGGGAGCACGGACACCTTGGCCAAGTCACACACCTTCTCTGTGCCTTGGTTTCTTCATCTGTCAAAGCCAGAACGATCGGCACTGGCCCGCGGGGGCGCTGTGAGGACTCTTCTCAGTGGTAAGCCCATGAGCAGTCGGCTTCGGATGGGGACAGGGTGTGCCAAGTGGGAAGCACGTTTTCCACCGAGCTGTCCCTGGAGGGCTCACCCCAGTAACATCTGAGACACTTACACGGTGCCAGGCACACAGCACTTCACGTGCTCTGGGGTATTTGGCCCTCACAGTGACCCGGTAAGGGAGGTAATGCTACTATCCTATTTCACAGTTGAAGAAGTTCAGGCACAGAAAGGGTGCACAGCTTGGGAAGGTCACACAGCTGGTAAGTGGGAGACCTGGAAGGTGCTTCAGGCAGCCTGGCTCCAACGCCCACATTCCTAAGCTGCTAGACCGCCAAGGTTTTCCCATTAGCTCTCTGGGGAGACAAATGAATACATGGAACAAATTAGTTGGGACATAGGCCCGAGGCCCTCACTGTGGGCTTGGAGACCCCAGGACTGAGGGAGTATCTCCTCTGATCAAATCCTGGCATTACATCCAGTCAGAGGACGCCCCCACGTGTGTTTCCCCACAAGATTCCAAAGATCGGCACCTCAGAGGCCCCCTGCTGACCTCTCCCAGCTGCCAGAGAAAGGGGCCAACTCCTACTAACACCTGTACAAGGCAAGCAAAGAAGTGGGAGTACCATCAGGCCTTGGCCTCTGAACTCTCTAGAATCTGTATTCGTAGGTAAGTGCCTTGAATCCTTTCAGGTGGAAGCTAATTCTCTAGGGTCCCATTATCTGCTAGAATGCTCTGGAAATAGGACAGCCAAGTTTCAAAGACTTCTGAACTCCTTAACCTGGGATGATTTTTTTTTTTTAAGTTTATTTTCTTGAGAGAGACAGAGACAGCATGAGTGAGGAAGGGGAAGAGAAAGCAGAGAGAGAGAGAGAATCCCAAGGAGGCTCCATGCTCAGTGTAGAGCCTGATGCGGGACTCGAACTGGCGACACCATGAGTTCACGACCTGAGCCGAAACCAAGAGTCAGATGCTTAACCGAGCCCCTAACCTGAGTGCAAATTATTGTTGGCACAGCAAGTTCTCCAGCCAGTGGCCCTGACACACAGGGTGGCGGTATGGGCACCCGTGGCTGGAAGGAGGAAACCACAAGACGGAGAAGCGTAGGGGATAATCCCCTTAGCGCTCGGCTCCGTTTCACACAGTTGGAGGCAGCCTGTTAGAGAGAAATGACCCTCGTTTTCCCGAAAGCACGCTCACCAGAAACCACCACTTGTATGTTGTTAGGGCAGGCAGGTACTTCTGTGACCCTTGGGTGTGTTATGTGGCTTGTGCTGTCGGGGACGGGGTGGGCCCTTCCTGGTGAGGAACAAGAGAACGGGAAAGCCTCAGGGTGACCTTCAGGGTGACATCTGCCCCAGCAGGCCACTTGCAGCAGAGGCAAAGCTGTACCAGGAAGGAAGAAGATAAGGATGGAGGGGTGGGGGGAGGAGGAGCACAGTGTGGATGTCACCTTAAATGCCATGGAGGCCCTCGAGCCAGAGTGGATACCAGGCACTAATCTGACTTTCTCATTACTGTTAAGCCATGTGACATTTCCCCCAAGAAATGTAACAGAGCCAAAAAGCCAGGAGGCTCAAATGGCATGAGAGCCTGTTATAAACCACCCTGAGATTCTGTGGACCCCTGGTTCAGTAGCTCTGGGCAGCTCAGAGACTAGAATTCAGGATCCTGTGATGCTGCAGGCTGGCTGGAGAAAAGATCGGGGACCATCCCCCTGACCCCTGGTGGTGAGCAGCCATAAGGGACGGGAACTCGACAGGGTTCCATTAAGCAGATGCCACACGCATTTCAGAGTAGGAGTCGAGTGGAAGATGCAGTGTTTTAGGGCTGGAAGCTTGCTGGAACTCTGGGGACACGTTCTAGGCTGCACTAGGGTGAGAAAAATCTGTAAGGACCCTGATGGGGGAGGGGCCAGGGGCACAGGTGAGAACACGGTGCCCAGGTGGGCAACACCGTCGGCCACGGGCAAGTCAGCGTCACGCTCAGGTGAATGTTCCCTAAATCTGGGCGAAAAGCATTCCTGTCTTTCTGGACAGACGCAAACTGTGTGCTGGCTGCACAAAAGTGACGGACGGGCTCCTGCTCACCCTTGGTGTCCATGAAACAGGGTCTCCCTTCTGGCTGGGAGGAGAACACAGGCAATATGCTTATCATGCTCAAGGGTTCAGGGCAAGAACCTATCTTGACAAGTCGCAAACACACCGATCTCAAAATTGTGATCTACTCGACATAAATGTGAAGTCCACTTAAAACTGACCTTTAAAAAAACACAAACTCAGGATGGGGGCGTCGGCTTCACTTATCTAAGTGTGACAAAGGGGTTTTGGTGTTTTGGCTCAATTAGTGATGTGGTCAGAGGAAGGAAAAAACAGAAGATGCCACCTTGGGGTCCCGCACTGGGTGAAATCTGGAGTCCCCTGCCTTGGCCATGTCGTATGTCTCTGCTAAAAAGGGCAGGCATGGTCTGCCGTGGTCCAAAGGAAGGAAGTCACTGGGGGCTGAGCACACGTGGGGCGTCCACAGGGCTGGACAGGCTTGGCTTGGAGAAAAAACATGTAGGGCTGGGGGGCTGAGGCTGGGTGGAGGGCTGGGGGGCTGAGGCTGGGTGGAGAGCAGGGAGCGTGGGTGGCCCTGGCACCATATAGCCTGGGGGGAGGGTCCCCTGGGGACAGGTCCCCTCCACAGGTGGGATGGTGGGGGCACCCGTGTGGAGGACTTCCATGCGCGTGTGTGCGGGAAGACTTGGAACGTTTGGGTGAGTGTTGGGTTTGTGACCCCGCCATTTTGAATTCCACAACCCTGTGGAAGTCATGGCACCAGTAATTGTTTCCCTTAATGACCCGTTCAGGACAGATGCCTGGTCTTTATTTAAGCTGCTCCATCTCCGGCCTGGAGCCCACCCAAGGGGGTATGTAAGATTCCTACTCCCTTCCCTTGAGAAAAGTCAAATGGAAAAGGATGGGTTTATTTTCTTCATGACCTCCTTGAAGGGCACAGGTTGACCCTCTGAATCAATTCTATGAAATAGTGGGTCTTCCCCTGGTCTGTACTTCTTGTACTTTGGTCCACTGCACAGATGTTGTCTCTAAGCTCACCAAGGCTCCTGCTGACTGGCTGTCCCTCCCCTGAATTCCTAAACACTTCCATCTGCTCCATTTTCTTGGAGCTGGAATTGGTCATACATGCCATTCATTGTGTCTACGAAACGCTACACTCTCCCTCAATGTAGGGATTATACTTATAAATATTTTGCAACTTCATCCCCCCATCACTTAGAAAAATGTCGAACTCAGTAAGGTACTGAACTGGCCTGATTAAAAATAGAACACGAATGGGGCGCCTGGG